ATGGAATAGCTTCTATAAAAGACCTATCAACAGTACTTAAATGTCTCTTTGGCGTGAGGCCAACAGAGTGCTAACAAGTAACAGAACGTTTAACTTCATCGATGATACATTCAATAAAAATAATAATTTTTGATCTAATATTGAACCACATATGCAAATTACCAAAGTCAATGCACAATGTTGTGTTTGATATGAGTCCCATGCAACATATACAACCGATGTAAAATACATTGGAATATATCAATTTGTTCTAGTGCTGCATCTGTGTCGCTTTACTCATTGGAAGTTACTGCGTGGAATTGTCTGAAGTGCAGGTAAGCGCATTTGAAAAAGTTGTCAGTATCATGTAATATGTGTTAAACTATTAACGTCTAATGAAGACATTTCAAGATTCAGATGAGGTCTACTGCGAAACAAATTTCAAGAACTTCGAACCACAGGATAAATGACACTGATAATTTCACAAATAACAAAAAAACACATTGGATTTGAATATTTTTAGTTTGGAAAGCGTAAATAATATACCATTTGTTTTGTAAACATAACTCAGTGATGTAGCATGACGAATGTTGACAAAGATGGTGAACTGGTTAGAGTAACCTTGACGATATGATGCGTTTTGGTGATCAGGCTTATCAAAGAAATAAATGCACATGCTGGTGCAAAGATGTCATACCTCTACAAATATAATTGTTTGTCAGAATTAGTTCTAATATAATAATATTCACGAAGGTTTCTGCACCTTAATATGATATACATGGAAAAATATGTCATGCGAGAATTTAACAATATCTCTTGACTTTAATACAACACTTCATGAAAGCCCTTCGCAGTTACAGAAAGTGGTATATAACTTTAAAGAAAAATTAAAAATAAATGTGTTTCTAAATTTCTCTTCATATTAAAAGTGCATTAAAGTGTAAATGAATATATTAGTAAAAAAATTGCATCAATGTAGCATTTAATGCTACGCAATGAATTCAATATATGTGCAATTTTTGCTAATCATACTAAACACAGGATTTGTACATGAAAACTTGGAGTCACACATAAGGTAAAAAGCAGATAATTTGCATGTATTTCCTGTGATTGATATAAAAAAAGTACATGTGGAAGCCATTGCAATTTTTTATCTTTGTTTTCAAGAGTACATGTAGTTCTACATCAATGCCACTCAAACAGAAATCAGACACCTGTTTAAACACTACATCAATGCCACTCAAACAGAAATCAGACACCTGTTTAAACACTACATCAATGCCACTCAAACAGAAATCAGACACCTGTTTAAACACTACATCAATGCCACTCAAACAGAAATCAGACACCTGTTTAAACACTACATCAATGCCACTCAAACAGAAATCAGACACCTGTTTAAACACTACATCAATGCCACTCAAACAGAAATCAGACACCTGTTTAAACACTACATCAATGCCACTCAAACAGAAATCAGACACCTGTTTAAACACTACATCAATGCCACTCAAACAGAAATCAGACACCTGTTTAAACACTACATCAATGCCACTCAAACAGAAATCAGACACCTGTTTAAACACTACATCAATGCCACTCAAACAGAAATCAGACACCTGTTTAAACACTACATCAATGCCACTCAAACAGAAATCAGACACCTGTTTAAACATTACATCAATGCCACTCAAACAGAAAT